ACATAACATAACATAACATAACATAACATAACATAACATAACATAACATAACATAACATAATATATATATCCTACTGAGCCCAAGAACATTGGCATTGAATGAAAGGCTGGTTTTAAAAAGGAAAAGTGCCAACAGATCAAAGACAAACATTTGAAAAACCCTTTTCCTTTTTCTTCTCTCACTCAGTAATGATCTCCCTGTCCCCATTCCTGAACTTTTTACTCTCTCTAACAGACACAGTGATGTTGGGCATTTGCGATTTGTCAGCCCATGATAGCTATGCATAGCTTGTAACATGTTTTGAAACTTCACACACCTATTCTCAGCCCTGGATTTATTCAGAAGGTCACCTTTCTTTCCCAGGGTGACTGGAAAGATTTCTGAAAGCAAACCTGGCAAAATAGTGAAATAAATAAATAAAATGGTAGAAAATAATGATTCCCCCCACCCCCACCCCCACGAAGGATTTAGTCCTGTGTTGACTCCTCTAATGGAGCTTTCTCAGATCAAGAGATCGCAAAGGGGGTTGTAGGCTGACCTAAAGAAGTTGAACACCAGCAGTAAAAACAACAGGAGTTTCTGCTTTTTTACAGCAATATAGTCAACATAAAAAGGTATCCTGGAACAGCCTGAAAATCTGCTGTAAAAAGAGTCTCTCGCTTGAGGGACAGAATGTTTTCAGGAACAGGAACAGGGGTGGTATTCAGCAGGTTCTGACCAGTTCTGGAGAACTGTAGTGGAAATTTTGAGTAGTTCGGAGGACCGGCAAATATCACCTCTGACTGGAGATTTTACAGTATCCTTGCCCTGCCCTGCCCCGCCCACCAAGCCACGCCCACAGAACCGGTAGTAAAAAAATTTGAATCCCACCACTGAACAGGAAAAATGGATTTCAGCACCATATAAACAATGACACAGCCCCGGTGAAACATCTTTTGCCGCTTTCATCCTTCAGAAATCCAGATCTAAATCAAATGAATAGTTTCCCTTTTAAAATCAACTGATTAAAAGCACAAGGGGACGAGCATGGGTACCAAATACAGTAAATGATATCTAGATTTAATACTACTAGATGGGAGATAGCACAGAAGAAAGGAGAATTGGATCACATCAAAGAAGCAAGCAAGGGTATTTATTTCTTTATCTTTATTTTGTTTATTTAGTTTGTCAAGCATGTATGAGAAAACAAGTATAAGTATGAACATAACATATACACATATGTATAAACAGGTATAAGTATATACATAATAAATGAGTATGAATAAATGGGAACAGTGGGACAGGGATGTAGGCATGCTGGTGCGCTTATGTACGCTCCCTTACACATCACTTAGGAATGGGGTGAGGTCCACGGTAGACAGTTTAAGGTTAAAGCTTTGGGGTTTTAGGATGTAACAACAGAGTCAGGTAGTGAGTTCCATGCATTGACCACTCTGTTGCTGAAGTGGTATTTTCTGCAGTCGAATTTGGAGCGGTTTACTTTGAGTTTGTATCTATTGTTTGTCCGTGTATTATTGTGGTTGAAGCTGAAGTAGTCATTGACAGGTAGCACACTGAGGCAGACAATTTTGTGTACTAAGCTTAGGTCAGACCGTAGGCGACGTAGTTCTAAGTTATCTAGGTCCAAAATTTCAAGCTTGTTATTTATGTAAGGTGGATATCAGGCTGTCAGAGAAACAAGGAAAAACAAAACTAGAATATATACCTGGAATGTATCCTAGGAAATGGCAGTTGTTTATGATAGTTGACAATTTTTTCTACAAGCAAGAAAGGTAGTTCAGAATTTATAGCTAATCAGAACTTAAACTCTTCATGTTCTCCTTCAGCATGGCCCTCCCTGAGCAGTCAGCTTGAATTTCTCCTTATCTCTTGCCTTCACATTGTCTGTTGAAGACCGATCCATGTTTACATTCTCGGCATTCTTGGGCTACCCTTCAGATTATGTCCACCAAACTAGACTGTTACAGATGAACAGAGTTGGAAGGGACCTTGTAGATCATCTAGTCCAACCCACTGCCCAAGCAGGAGACCCTACACCATTTCTGACAAATGGCAGTCCAATCTCTTCTTGAAAGCCTCCAGTGATGCCGCTCCCACAACTTCTGAAGGAAAGCTATTCCACTGGTTGATTGTTCTCACTGTCAGAAAGTTTTTCCTTATTTCCAGGTTGAATCGCTCCTTGTTCAGTTTCCATCCATTATTCCTTGTCTGGCCTTCAGGTGCCTTGGAAAATAGCTTAACCCCTTCCTCTCTGTGGCAGCCCCTCAAATATTGGAACGCTGCTATCTTGTCTCCCCTAGTCCTTCTCTTCACTAGAGCATCTATGCCCAGTTCCTGCAACCATTCATCAAAGACAGTAATCTTCTAGCCATTAACTGAGCCTGATACCAGGAAAGGATTCAGGCAAAACATCCCCCCCGCCCCCCATCTCTTGACTTCAATCAAAACACATATCACTGTTCTACTCCATTTTATCTCCTGTTGTTTTGCCAGTTTAATGAGAATGTATGTATGTATTTTTTGCAAAGAATGAGCCCCAGTGTGATCTGCAATTCATCTCATTCGCCTTATCTCCTCTCTCTCTAGATATACCAAGTTGAAAACTGCCACCAACATCTATATCTTCAACTTAGCCCTGGCAGATGCCTTGGCCACCAGTACTCTGCCCTTCCAGAGCGCTAAGTATCTGATGGAGACCTGGCCCTTTGGGGAACTGCTCTGCAAAGTCGTCCTCTCCATAGACTACTACAATATGTTCACCAGCATCTTCACCCTGACGATGATGAGCGTAGACCGGTACATTGCCGTCTGCCACCCGGTCAAGGCCTTGGATTTCCGGACCCCGGCAAAAGCGAAGTTAATCAATGTTTGCATCTGGGTTCTCTCTTCTGTGATTGGAGTGCCTATCATGGTCATGGCTGTCACTAAATCTCAAGGCAAGTGGTTTGCCATTAACTTCCAAAGACTTTCCAAAAGACCACTCAGGTTGGGGAACGATCAGGCTGTGGTTCCCACTGCTAAATTGACATAGGCCTTTGGGGTGCAAGGACTTTTTCTGTCCTGTAGTAGGGAACGAACTTCTATTCTATGAGCCTTGGTGGCGCAGTGGTTAGAGTGCAGTACTGCACTTCTGCTGACTACCGGCTGCCTGCAATTTAGCAGTTCGAATCTCACCCGGCTGAAGGTTGAATCAGCCTTCCATCCTTCCGAGGGGGATAAAATGAGGACCCAGATTGTTGGGGGCAATAGGTGGACTCTGTAAACCACTTAGAGAGGAGGGTAAGGCATGGTGAAGCGGTATATAAGTCTATTGCTGTTGCTATTCAGTTTATTTCTTGGGGTGATTCCGTTATATAGGAAGCAGACTTACCTATGGGGCTAAGGAAGGAATGTTCATATTTTGATAAAAAGATGGGCTTGTAAGTAACCCCCCCACCCCACCCATGTACAGGTAGTCCTCAACTTACAACAGTTCATTTAGTGACCATTGCAACATCACTGAAAAAAGTGACTTATGACCATTTTTCACACTTACAACAGTTGCCGCATCCCCCGTGGTCACGTGATTTGCATTGGGATGCTTGGCAACTGACTCACATTGATGATGGTTACAGGGTCCCAGTGTCATGTAATTGCCTTTTGTGGCCTTCTGACAAGCAAAGTCAGTGAGGAAACCAGACTCATTTAACAACCGTGTTTGTAATTTAACAGCGGCAGGGGTTCACTTAACAAATGTGGCAAGAAAAGTCATAAAATGGGGCAAAACTCAAAAAATTCTCACTTAACAACATAAATTGTGGGTTCAGTTGTGGTCATAAGCTGAGGGCTACTGTACTGGCTTGGAAATTATATCAAGAATTCTACGCTCATTCATTAACCCTGTTCACTCAACATATTGAACTGGGCTGTGGGGTAGGGATAAGAAAAGTATACAAACCCCAAACCCCAGTCAATTAATCCAGGCAGAAAAAATAGCTATAAAGAGACCCAGGCTTATTTGGTGCTAATTGAATATCTCCCTGATCCCATACAAGCTACTAACTTGAATCTTTGTCAACTGAGACACAGTCCTAGAGAAGCTCTGTGAAACACAATTGCTCTAGGCACTCTATCTCTATGACTGGTTTGCTTTGTACCTTTTCCCAGTCTGCATCCATTAGGAGTTATGACAAAGGTTGGAAATGATGAGAAGGAGCACACACCCCTTCCCAACTATCTATAATCTATTTACAAAGGGAAGTAGTGGAAGGCAGCAATAGCCTGCTAACCTCCATTGTAGTGGCTGAGAAGACTAACAGCATGGATATTGTCCAACTGGTCTATTCATCCTGGATTGCATAAATTAATAAAGGTCAATTAATTGACTAGGAATATCCCAATAGAAGGGACGTGGTGGCTCAGTGGATAAAATGCTGAGCCTGTTGATCAGAAAGGTCGGCGGTTTGGTGGTTTGAATCCCTAGCACTGTGTAACGGAATGAGCTCCCATTACTGGTCTCAGCTTCTGCCAACCTAGCAGTTCAAAAGCATGTAAAAATGCAAGTAGAAAAATAGGGGCCACTTTGGTGGGAAGGTAACAGCGTTTCGTGCGCCTTTGGCATTTAGTCATGCTGGCCACATGACCACGGAGACGTCTTCGGACAGCGCTGGCTCATCTTTGTAATGGAGATGAGCACTGCCCCGTAGAGCCAGAAACAACTAGCACATATGAGCAAGGGGAAGCTTTACCTTTATACTCCCAATGTTGGGAATGGATGGGATGGTCAATTAATTGACTAGGAATATACTCCCAAAGTTGGGAATGGATGGGATGGTAGAGAAAGGGTGAGATGGTTGGATAGTTTCTTTGATGGAATGGACATCAATTTGAGCAAACTCCGGGAGGCAGTGGAGGACAGAGTGAAGCAGGGATGGGATTCTATCAGTTCACACCTATTCTCTAGAACCGGTTGTTCACATTCTAAGCAGTTTCGAGAACCGGCTGTTAGAAGAAATTACTGGCCTAATCCTGTAAGGAAGGCAGGAAGGAAACATTCTGGTGTTGCTTACAGAAACTGCCTCTCCATTAACCCTTTTTACACTCTTGGCAGGCCTAGACTGCCTGTCTCTGGAACTTCTCTGGAGTTTTTTTCCCCCTCCTTTGCTGGTACTTTGTGGAGTGACCATTCAAAGTTACAATGGCACTGAAAAAAGTGACTTATGACCATTTTTCACACTTACGACTGTTGCAGCATCCCCACAGACATGAGAGGCCAGGCGAGGAGATGCGTGAGTAATATTGAGTTGGCCACACCCAGCCAATAACATGACCACCAAGCCATGTCCACCCGGTCACATGACCACCAAGCCAAGCCCACCACCTAAGCCACACCCACAGAACCGGTTGTTAAAAAATTTGAATCCCACCCCTGGAGTGAAGCATGGTGTGCTATCCTCCATGAGGTTGCAAAGAGTCAAACATGACTTAAATGACAAAACAGCAGCAACAGCATACTCTCAAACTCTCATCAACAAAGCCACTAGTCATTGATGGTTGTTGTCAAAGCGGTCTCTACTATGCGATGATGTGCTTTTATGTGTAAGAGAATAGCACTTCTGTTGGCCACTGAGCTATGGTCCTCCTGTTTGTTCATCTCTCATCTTCATACTCTTCTTCTTTTTATGCAGGTGGCATTACAATCTGTCTCCTTCAGTTTCCTGAACCTCAAATTTACTGGGATACGGTTACCAAGATCTGCGTTTTTATCTTTGCTTTCTTGGTTCCCATCTTGGTCATCACCATCTGCTACGGGCTGATGATTCTCCGCTTGAAGAATGTCCGTCTCCTCTCTGGTTCCAAGGAGAAGGACCGCAATCTGCGCCGTATTACCCGCATGGTGCTCATTGTGGTAGCAGCCTTCATCATCTGCTGGACTCCCATCCAGATCTTCGTCATCGTTTGGACTCTGGTTGGCATTGACAAGAAGAACCCTTATGTCATGGCCAGCCTGCATTTTTGTATCGCCCTGGGCTACACTAACAGCAGCCTCAACCCGATCCTTTATGCTTTCTTGGATGAAAACTTCAAGAGATGTTTTAGGGAGTTCTGCCTCCCTTTCCGATCACGGATGGAGCAGAATAGCTTTAGCCGGGCCCGGAACAGCACCCGAGAACGTGTTTCTACCTGCACACCATCAGAAGTTCTTCATAAGTCAGCATGACTAGACATGGACAGCCACAAAAGAGGCTTCAGCAGAGGAGGCAGAGGGGAAGAACTGCAGTCCGAAGTGACCCAAGTTACCACCACAGAATTCTAGCCTGAACGGATGCAGGAGCCATTCAGGAAAAGACACCGCCACAAACCTGGCGAATGTTTCAAAGTGTTTTAGGGTATCGCTCTCCAAGCTGATGCACTGGGAATGCAGTTCTCCAAATTCCCCTTCAGCACTTCCAACCTACCTGGAGGACCACATGTTTGGGGAAAGGCACATTAAGGGTTTTCTTTCCTCCCCCACCCTTCGACCTATGACAAGCCAAATTTTTGTTCTGCAAAATGGTCTCTGTTTGTCCATTGTTATAACACTGCAAATTTCTTAGGAAATCTTTAATATCTTTTGAATGAAGTCTCAAAGAGGCATTAAATGAATGCTGTGTATGGTGCCCGTTATTCATGCCTGTATGTGCGTATACATTTATGGATTTCTGGAAATCAATGCCTTCAAATGGTTTGAAGAACTCGCAGCGTCTGTTTCTGCTTCACTGAAGATATTTTTTACTTTAGCTTTACCAATTAGTCTCTGGCTGATGGCTCCTTCCGCCCTTCTCTCACTGGGTTACGTGCATTTGACAAACCAGGATCAAAATCCTCTTTCACAGTTGCGATGGTTCGATGGAAGCATCCCAAAGTAGCTAAAAGGGATACTTTTAAAAAGCCATGCATTTCTAAACCAAACTTTCTAATGGCTACAAAATTTAGTTATCCATTCAGAGAAAAGCGAAGCATAGCCTTTGATTTGTAAAGTTGGAGCACTCAAATCTTTGCCTCTGTAGCGACCAGGAAAGCAATGAACCGAAGATACAAAATTCTACCATTAGTGACTTAATCTCTGTGTAATCAGTGTTATTTGGCAGTGGAAGTTGCATTCTTGTGGATATCATGCCTTGTTCAGCGGTGTTCCTTCTATACTGCTTTTTAAAAGGTCAGGAAAAGAAGGAAACCAGGGTTCCCTAGCAAGAGCTGGTTTCCTGGTTCCAAAAAACTATGAATTCTAGATGGAAAGAGATTGAACCTTGGAAACCAACAAAAACATTTTCATCCTGGGTTTTCCCCATGGCCCATGGGAAGTGACCTCCTTGCAGAGAGAGTCTCATTTCCCTCATGTTCTTGAGCAGCACGAAACCCTTCCTTGTGAACTTAGAACATAGAACAACAGAGTTGGAAGGGACCTTGGAGGTCATCTAGTCCAACCCCCCCTGTTCGAGCAGGAGACTCTATTCCAAATATTAGCCTCTACCTAGGATCGAACTCACAGCCTCCTGATTGTGAGGTGAGAGAGCTCCACCTGTAGGATACCACACTGGACTGGCTTGTGTGTTTTCCTGACTGTTCTGTTATATGTACCTCCAAAAGACTCTGCGACACGTTGGTACCTCTACTCAGGAACTCTGTCGTGGAACAAAGACGTAACTTGATTGTTCTTCACTGTAGATATATGAACTTGTACCAGTACTCCGATCTTACTCAAGAAGGCAGCTCCCTGGGCCTTAGGCAACTGAGATCGCATGAGGCAGAGCTGAAAGATTGCAGATGAACTTGGGTTCTGCTTGACAATTTCCTGGAAACATCTTGCTAGCCACTGTGGAAACAGAATGCTGGGCTGCGTAGCCTGTCAGAGTTTCCAGTAACCCTCCCAATCTGGAGCCATAGGCATTTAGTCTGGTCCAACAGGTGTAACTTACATTCTTAGATTGCTTAAGTGTTGGGTGTTCAGCTACTTCTGTATTGCTGTTATTGCCTTACCCTCGTAGAAGCTGCAAATCAGGTGGCCCTTTGCGTTCCCCATACAATCCCTAATTCATTTAGGGCTTGTTGTCTGGATCAGGCATTGGCGTGAAATCATTTGTCAAGTTAAGGAGGATTCCTATTTCAGTGGCTCAATAAATTGCTGTCAATGAATTATGCAATGTTTCCTTTTTATTAGGCTGATCAAGAACTGCCTTTAGCATTTTCCTTTCAGTTCTTTGATGAGAATGTCTTCCAATTTGCTTTGAAAATTATATCATGGTGGAATGTATTGTTTTTGCATATAGAGGTAGCCCTCAACTTAAGACTACAATTGGGATAAGAAATACCGTTGCTAAGCAAGGTATTGGTTAAGCAAGTCACGTCCAACTTAACTCTTTTTGGGGGTCATGATTAGGGCAGAGTTTAGAGTAAGGCTTTTGCAAAATGCTAAGAAATAACTCCCTTCTTTGTAATTTTAATCCCATTCTAAACTATTTTTTTAATATTGGCCATACTCATAATCATCTTCACTTGCCTTCAGTGGCATTAAGGTGCCAGTCTGGCAACATGTTATCCTGTTCACAGAACGTTTTTAGACAATAATCTCCAAGATAATTTGTTATAGTTATATACACTGTGTTATATACACTGATAGGAGGCTGGCTATAGCCCTAATAGAGTACGATATTATGACATGATAGCAGTGTTCCAATATTTGAGGGACTGCCACAAAGGACAGGAGGTCAATTTATTCTCCAAAGCACCTGAAGGCAGGACAAGAAGCAACAGATGGAAACTAATCAAGAAGAGAAACAACCTAGAAATAAGGAGAAATTTTCTGACAGAACAATTAATCAGTGCAACATCTTTCCTTCAGAGGTGGGCTCCATCACCAGAAATTTTTAAGAGACTGGTCAGCCATTTGTTTGAAATGGTACAGGGTCTCCTGCTTGAGCAGGGAATTGGACCAGAACAGGGGTCGCCAACCCTTTGGACCTCAGGGACCACCAAACTCATAATTTTAAATCCCGCAGACCAGAGACCCTGGGAAAATTCCCAAAAAAGTCTGCAGCAAAATTTCCCACCCTGTTTTCCTACCTATCAATCATTTGTTATTTAGGATCGCAGGATACCATCTCCAGCTCCATTCTAAGTGGGGAGAGAGAGACTTTTGGCTTCATGCAAGGAAAGCAGCAGAACTAGCAGAAGCCTTTCTTTCTCTCCCCCAAACTCTGCCAGAAATGAGTCTTTGCCGGCACAGCGTCTTGGGGCAGGATTCCTTGCAGGGTCCCAAAGACTCATTTCTGATGGAGTTTGGGGGAGAGAAAGGAAGACTTTTGCTGCTTTCCTTGCTTGCAACCAAAAGCAGAAGAAGAAAGAAGTGGAAAGAAGCAGCCTGGTGGCCAGGCGAGGAGCGTAGAGTGCGTGGGACAAGTTTTCCCCCTCTGCCCTTTCCCCCCTCCCCTCACTACCTTGTGTTGTTCGCAATGCAAGCGACGCAAGCCTTGTGCTCCTGTGGGCCATGTGGGCAGCGCAGCCTTGTGTTCCTGCACAGCCTGGATTAATTGTTTTGGGGATGACATTTCTCTGCGGACCACCAAAATTTTCTCATGCACCACTAGTGGTCCCTGGCCCACTGGTTGGCGACCACTGGACAAGAAGACCTTGAAGTCCCTTCCAACTGTGTTTTCCTGTTAAATGGCATTATAGAATAGAATCTTGGTTTACATGCATAACAAGCAGATCGTTGTGTTTGCATGAAACGCTTCATCAGAATGCATTGCTCTGAATAGAGTTCAATGCAGAAGGACAAGGAAAGTCTTTGCCAACATCTTGGGGATGGGAATAAGGGCAAAACACTTGTGTTTTATTGCCCAGAAAACTTTTATGGTTGTGCCCATATGGTTACATGGAATCAATTTTAACGCAAAGGTGTTATTACCATGTTTAAGAGGACAGTGTGTATCTATTATTCAGGTCTACAGGAAAGCTTTTAGTCTGACATTTTGTAGACCAAGACTGGGGAGGACAGAGGACAAAAAGTCAGCCAATACCTATATTTCCTTTTTGTTGTCACCACTGCACAATCTGCCCCTCTCCGGTCTCCTACTGTCCTGAGTAGTTTGATGTTCTTCAGAAGAAAGAGAATGTGCATTCCATCAAAACTGTAAAAATCCAGAAGATGGACTGATGCTTGGGATTGATCAGGTCATGATAAAGAAATATTGATGAATGACTTTAAATTTTCAGGGCCTGAGGAAATGTGTATGAGAGTTCTGAAGAAAACTGATGATGATATGGCTAAGATTTTATGAATAATCTTTGAGTAATACTAGAAAATGGCTTGCCGGGGGAGATGGGGACAAATCACAGTGACAATGAACTCTGGAGACATCCTAAAGCAAATCACAAAGCAACTGATACACAAGCACCTCAGGAACAATGTGCTAATCACTACCAGAAGTCACCGTGGACTTGCCCTGCAGGATTAATCTGAAAAGTGGAGAGTAGACAATTAAGCAAAAATTGTATTTAAAGAATATTCATGAGCAATTCTTCCACCGGTGAGGATGTTAACAAGTAGGGCCACTACCGTTTTAAGATTCAGCCCACTCTGCTATTTTCAATTAAAAAAAAAAAAATTGCATGAGGAGATAGAGGGAAAATTTTCAGTGACGCCAAACTGCGAGAAGAGAGACAACATATAAGAGATTATGAAAGGTTAGAAAAATGGGATAAACGAAAGAGAGACAAATGCAAAAAATATGCATTTAAAAAGCAGAACTCAAGGGCACAGGAGGGAGGAGGAAATATTTGGACTGGTGATAGAGTCTTTCTTTTCACAAAAACTAAGAAAGTAGAAGAAATAGGGGAGAATAATGGATTTAAATCTGCAGGAAGGCAGGTTCATATTAGCAAAGATGGATGGACAGTAGTAGTTCAGCACTTGAATCAATTACACGATTACAATTACAAGGTTACTCTTTGATTGTATTTGAATAGAGGCCAGACTGAAAGTATCCACTGTAAGGAGGGAGGGCAGTAAAGATGATTTCTGTAGCCCCTTTTCAACATCTCTTCCCCAATGTAGAAGCTCCCCTTTTCATTTGGATTCCTGTAGTAAATAAGAGATTGAAGTCCTAAATTGGTCCTTTCAACTGAATGAATGAATGAATGAATGAAGTGGATGGATGGATGAATAGATAGATGGACTGA